AGGTATTTGGAAGCACATGGTCGTCCATCCACGACGATCTGACATTTCACGCAACAGTAGTTGTTATCTGAGAAAGACATTAACAGCTTTCCCATATTGTAGATCTTTTCCAGAAAATCAGTAACAGCCGACTTGACACTGTGGTTAGATAAATATATCATGATACCACAGAAATTATTGCATGAGAAGACAATTTTTTCAAACTAATAACATTTAATTAAATGTAGAGGAGTGGAAACCACTTTTTAGTCATCAATTATTCATTTTTGGATCAGTTGGAAACATATTCTTTGAAATAGTGGAATCCACTCTTAAAAGAGCTATTCAACTCCTAATTTGAAGTGGATTCCAATAACTAGTAACACGATATGGCAAGATATTGAAACACTGTGTGTACAGACCACAGTATGATTATCATATTAATAGCTGTCACTGTGAAACAGTGTAACACACTGTGGCCATAGTTATATCATAGAGTGGTGCTTACTGTTCGTACCAAAGTATGAACACATCTCGCATTTGGAATGTGTTCATGAGTACAATGTTTTCACACCATTTTCGCACTTGATGGAAAACTGTGGTCACTCTAGTTACACAGTGAGTACAAATTACATTGTGGTCAAGACAAATATTGTGTTTACACTATTTTAACACTGGATGACACATTGTGACCAGTATGCCTACACTCTACAGTTTGTCCACAAAATAATAACCATGTTTACACTGCATTGCACACAGTGTGCCACAATCGTTACCACATAGAGAATCAAAGAATATATTACCAATGAGTGGGAACATATTCATTGATGACCACACTGTCTGTATTCATACCGTTTGCACACTCGTGCCAACGAGTGTGCAAACGATCGAAATCGGTGTAATATACAAAACACAGAAACTGGTTTAAAAATACACTGGAAAGTACTTTGAACAGTAATTGTAAATCGAAAGGTGTCAACATTGGTAAAGGAGGTCGAAATCTGTGTAATAAATCGGTTTAGTAAATAAAATAAAGAAAGCAATCGGTGTACAAAAAATACACTGCACAATGCTTTGGGCATTACTTATAAACAGAAAGGTGCCCAAATGAACTATAGTTGCGATTAATATCATTAATCAAGAGACAAAGTCTCAATATTTCATTTAGCATTGGGTGTAAATGAAAAGAGATTCACAGTACACCGTGATTATAACACTCATCTACCGAACATCAAGATAGCCTCCGAGGTATCCGGGTACACTACTTGGGAACACGCTTGAAAATTATATCTAGCTTTGTGGTGTTAACTAAAACGAGACGAGCTGTTGAGCTGTGATGAGTGATGCTGGCTTTACTTGATGCACTCGTGCAGACAGATAGGATGGTCAAGCAAAATGATCCAAGAATTTTTCGGGAGATGTGTATGTGTGTGTGTGTGTGCGTTTGTGGAGGGGGCGGTAGAATGTCCGTAACGTAGCTATGGGTAGGGGTGGCGATCAAAAGGAGGAAAGAGGAGATGTAAGGGGTAGGAAAAAAGGGGTAAAGAGACCGCGAAAGGAAGATAGTACGACCCCCTCCCTCACCCTCCCCTCTTATCAATTCTCTTGTAATTTCATGTGTGGAGAGGGGGGGGGGGCGATAGAGTGTCCGTAACATAGCTATTGGTAGGGTGGCGATGAAAAGGAGGAAAGAAGAGATGAAGGGGATAGAAAAGAGTAAAGAGACTGCGAAAGGAAGACATTACGACCCGACCCCTCACCCGCCCCTCTTATAAATTGCCGTGTAAGTCAAGTTCATCCATTCGTCTAGTGTAGACCGGCCCCCTCCCCTCCCCCATCATGCCGGTGCCCCCTTGATATCTGCCCCCATGATATGCCGCTAGTCGGCGTGACAAAGGAAATGCAGAAATGCTTTTGAAAAACAACATTTACATTTTAATCGAGAATAGGATCAGATTGAACTGAAGATTAAAATTCTCTCTCTCTCTCTCTCTGTATGTTATAAAGTATACCGTTACGGTATAGTCCGCAACTTATTTTAATGAATGTTGTGTTTGTATAAAACGCAATGACAGGTCTTATCTAGGTAATAATGTCATATCATTATTTTGCAATGACATAAAACCATAATATTTTTTTCAGAACGCAGATCCCCGCCTCGGCCCGCCATCCCACCTCCCCCCCCCCCTCCCTTTACAAAAATCCAAAATGTTACTATAACTAAGACGAGAGGTTGTGAAGTTACGGTAGAGTATCGAAGGCAATCATGTATCGAGGGGAAATAAGAGAGAAAGAAAAAAATTAATGGGGGGGGGGGGGGGAGAGAAATGCATATAATGGACATTGGTATTAAAGTGATCATGTGGTGTGGGAAATGCATCTTCAGAAAACAGAACTCCGAGGGAATTGGAAGCAAATGTCTCTTGAAACCAAAAGGCATGGATTGGAATTTGGTAACGCTCTTTAAATCCTGACATTTTGGGATTCCCATATTAACTTATCTTTCAAATATTTGACTCTCTATGATCATTAATATTTTGGACAGTTGCCAACAGAGGGAACTTAACACTACTATTATACAAAATGATAATTACAGGGTGTCATAACCATAAGGCATGACATTCGGCAGGCTCCTCTCAAATCCCGCTTCTTCTTTTTTTTTTCCCAGCATCCCAATTTAGCCTAAACTTATTAATTAAAATATTTGACTTTCTTAGATCATTAATATTTTGGAAAGTTGCCAATAAAAATGGGTTTGCGATTCGGGTTAGGATTGCTACAAATATCAAGAAGCAGATTAAAACCACTAGGCATGAAATTTGGCAGCCTCTCAAATCTTGTCATTTCTAGCATCCCGTTTTAGCCTAAAGTTACCAATTAATTATTTGGATTTCTACGATCATTAATATTTTGGAAAGTTGCCAATAAGATGGGCACAACATCTTCACTGACATTGTTATTGGCACGAAAGAGAGCATTGAACAGCATGGCGAAAATGCCTTTTTCTCAATATTTCAAATTGACTTGTTACGATATCATGGACTTTTGTGTTTATCTGCAAATGCATACCTCATCTATTAAATCTAGACCAGATGGCTATCCACAATTTATCCATATAGTTTACCTATTATGAGTGTCATTATCAGATATCAGATATTTTTGACCTCCTCAGACAATGATAGTACTGTGCAAGAGAGAGGCGCTATATTTAAATATGTTTATATTATACTGTATTTTCAGTAAGGCCGTTTATCTCCTTGTGACGTTAGATTGTTTCCGGGCGTTATGCCCGCCCCCCCCCCACTCAGTTTTATTTAGGGTACGCATATGCGTGTTCCAACCGAACCCCCCCCCCCCTTTTCAGCAAAAGCCCGGTGTGTAAAGTCAATACGGCTCGACCTTTTTCTTTTGTATACGAGCCTTTTTCAGCACCCCCCTTTTCAGCAAAAGTCCGGTGTGTAAAGTCAATACGGGCCGACCTTTTTCTTTTGTTACGAAAAGGACATTTTGGCAACACGCATGGGGTCCGTCCGTTCTCGGAGTGGGGCGGGGGGGGGGGGCGTTATGATGGGTCAAGAGGAGAGGGTGAGGGGTTGGGGAGAGGTACCCTTCTAATGCAGAACAGTGCACGGAATGAATGAAGCGGTTAACACCGCTGCAAAACAAAAGTAATGATAAAACAAATTGTGTACGGGAATGACAACGACAATGATAATAACAATGACAATAAATGTATGCAATGCGCCAAAACAAAAGTGATATCGAACATGACAAAAATAAACAAGATTGATGAAATAATATGTAGCAGTATGTGCGCCACGAATGTGATTCGGTATTTATTTAGATTTACGTTATATGATAACAGAAATGTGACGCGTTTTGCATGTTACGTCATGGAGGAAAACAAACCATACACACACCGCGGTTTACCGCTTCATATTTGATAGAGGTTTAGGAGTCACAGAAGTCACTTCCTTCGGAGTCGAATACACTCCAAATTAGAATGGAATCCACTCCAGGGTCGGAGTTAAATAGCTCTTTTGAGAGTGGATTTCACTATTTTCAAGCATACATTTCCATCCCACACGAAGTGACCCCTAATAATTTACGACTCAAAAAGTGGTTTCCACTCCTCTAAATTTAAGGACCAAGTTAGGAGGGGGTATGGCATTATAACTGGGTGTGACGCTCCCTCCCCAAGACAAAAGAGAAAATCCATCGGATACCAAGATTTATCGAAATAGAATGGGCTGTGAGGCGCGCTTGTCTTTCGGATGAGGGCGCTGTTTAGCAGCAAGCATCAACTTCTTATTACTGAACTTTTACATGCAGTTTTTCTTCTTAAATCTTACTTTTGGAACTGAACTGTGGATACTTGATTGGAATTTTGTGTTCATTGGACTGTGTGGATTCGTCTGGGTAACTTTATGTGTGTCTTAAGTTTTATATTTGATACTAATTGATACATCTTACTTCTGACTCTATATGTCAATATATACCAAATTGAACCGTGCAGTGACATGTTATACCATCGGCGATTTACTGGCCATGATAGCTGGACGTACAGGGTTGTAACCCTGCTTTTGTTACTTTCAGCAAGCATTGTGCTGTCTGACAATGGAATGGCTCCAGACAATAGCCATCCCCCGGACAAAAGCCACCCGTCGGTCGACGGACAGGACAGAGTGATTCGTTATACGAGTAATGAACTTTTCAGGTTACGCTCTCAACCGAAAAGTCGTATACCTCGAGATGCGTTTGAAACTATACATGAACTTGGAATTGCTCGTAAAAGAGGATGTCGGGCAGGAAAAAAGATCCGGCGACGAATAAAAGTTGTTGATTGTTATTCTCGCCACCTAAATCAAGACGAAAAGCCCATCGTGACCAGGACAAGAACATTGAGGCACATTGAGACCCTGCCTAATCAATCACCATCTCTACCTTCTATGTACATGCTTAACGCAAGATCATTGAATAATAAGTTCGACGAATTCACTTTTGTTGTTCAAAATTATGACATGGACATTGTTTGTGTGAGTGAGACCTGGTTCCAAGATAGTGTTCCAGAGACCGCGTTCAGCATTCCAAACTACAACTTACTGCACAAGAGCCGAGTTTCCCAACGAGGTGGAGGAGTCGCCATCTATGTGAAATCTACTATGAACCCCACTGAAACCCACATAGACGTTCCGGAAGAACATGAGGTTGTTTGGACGCACATCCGACCAACACGGTTACCTAGGAACGTCTCTTCAATATTTGTGGCATCAGTGTACTCACCCCCAATCAATGCTCATGTGGATAGCCTTATTCATTACCTTACACGGGCTGTTGATCATATTCTTCTGAGACACCCTTTGGCAGGAATCATCATCTCTGGTGATTTTAATCGAGCTGATGTATCTCCCCTCCTTGCTGGACACAGCCTGAAGCAGGTAGTAAATCGTCCAACGCGTAACCTTTCTATGCTGGACTTGATCATTACCAATATGAAGAGTTTGTACTCTGTCATACAAATTGTTGCCCCAATTGGAATGAGCGATGATCTTGAATGACATATCTCACGAAATCGATCCTCAGCAGTTCGGCAATCGTCCTGGTTGGTCAACGAGCCATTACCTTTTAAGCCTGCTGGAATACCTCCATTCGAATGCTGACAAATCTGGATCAATTACGAGTGTGGTGCTTACGGATTTTTCCAAAGCCTTCGACTTAGTAAACCATAACGTAGCAATCACAAAAATCTACACAATGGGTGCACGGCCATCCTTACTTCCTTGGTTATGCAGCTTCCTTGGTGAGCGAACTCAGCAAGTGCGGTACAAAGACCAACTTTCAACAACACTCGCCACTTCAGTCGGTGTTCCTCAAGGGACGCGACTTGGACCTCTGGTTTTCTTAGCCACTGTCAACGATGCCCTCCAGTCATCTGACTGCTCTAGATGGAAGTATGTAGATGACCTTACTGTTGCAGAAACACGCCGATCAAATTCACCAAGTTGTCTTAATGCTACATTGTCTGTATTTGAAGAATGGTGTAAGGACTCGAATATGCGTCTAAACCCATCCAAATGCCAACTCATGAGGGTATCATTTGCTCGTCGACAGCTCCCACCAGCGGAAGTTATGATCGGCGAAAATCAAATCCCGGACAAGCAACACGTGAAATTGCTTGGCGTCGTTCTTAGCAGTGATCTTCGGTGGTTGGAACACGTCAACTGCATTACATCAAAAGCAGCCAAGAAACTCTATCTGCTACGGATGCTCAAACGTTTCTCTATGCCACTTCAAGATTTGATCACAGTTTTTACGTCCTACATAAGACCGGTGCTAGAATACTGTTGTGTAGTATGGCATTCCTCACTAACTCTAAACCAGGAAGCTCAAATAGAGTCAATCCAGAAGCGTGCCCTGCGGACAATATTAGGACTAAGATATGAATCCTACCGTCAGGCTCTCACAGTGTGTAATCTGTCGTCTCTGAGAGACAGAAGAGAAGAGCTCTGTCTAAACTTCGCTAGGTCCCTCTACTGTAACTTTCGTGAGTGGTTACCTGAAAGCCAGTGTTCTCGAAGACAATTGAGACATAGTAATAGGCTACGTGAAATCAAGTGTAGGACAGAACGCTACAGAAAAAGTGCTTTACCCTATCTAGTAAGGCTTTTAAACCAGCCATGATGTGGCATCCGGTCTGTTCAATTTTTTTTGATAGCATAATACTGCCAAACTTTGTGAATTACATGTATTTTTGTCAATATAACTTCAATTTCTGTATCAAGATACAAATACGGTCATCTTTAGTAACCTCATTTCTTTCCCATGTTTTTTTTTCTTTATATGAATTATTGCCAGTTATCTAAAGCCTCTTTTAAATCACAATTTGCTTATTATAATTCATTCTCAAATTGCAATCTTTGCCTGAACACATCTACAATTCGCCGAATCTTAATGCATTATATTTCAGATTCAATTAAATATCTTGGATTGAACAATTATATTATTGCTAAATGTAGAAACATAATGTAAATATTTGCAATACGCTTTACCTCAATTTATCAGTTAATTATCTTTACTCTTCGCATTGTATACTGTCGATTTCATAATTACATGTATTACTTTAAATTGCCTCTGGTTGCCCGTTATTTTATCTTAACACTATTAGTTTACGCAGGTCTGCAATTACTCCTTTTGAATCTTGCTTCTGTGCTATATCCGCCTGTATTTAGTTGTTATATATAAATATTTTCTTAAAAAGGTTGTTATTATCCTTTTTAAAATGTTTTTACTACCATCTGCGTTAAAAAAGAAAACATTCTCATTTATACATTTTACAACTTACCAAAAGATTTTTAGGTGAGCTAAAATAATAATAATAATAGTGGGTTCTTGGATAGCGCTCATGTCAGTCAGATTTTTGTTCTTCTTATTAATACTATTCGTAATGTCAATGTTGCAATGCATACTTTTATCTTTTTATCGTCAATTTGTATGTAATTTTTAATTGTTGGCAAGTTCCCCCTTCTCTCCTCCCCCTTCTTTACCTCTTGCCTCTCTCTCTCCCTCTCTCTCTCTCTTTCTCTTCCTCTTTCTCTCTCTCTCTCTCTCTCCTTCACCTCTCTCTCTCTCTTTTTCTCTCTTTCTCCATCTTTCTATCTTTCCTGCTCTTTCTCTTTCTTCACTATATCTCTCGCTCTCTTATCCTTTCTTTCTATTTCTCTTACTTTCCTTCCCTCTCTCCTCCTCTACCTCTCTCCTCTCTCTCTCTCTCTCTCTCTCCCTTTCCCTTTTTAACCTCTTTTCTTTATGTGACATAATACGTGTACTTATAATTATGTAAATGATACTGTTTTTAATTGTACTCTCGTTTTTAAAATGCAATGTATATCCATGTGCAATTCAGTATATGTAACTGCGATGCATGTTTCAATAAATACCATACCATACCCATACGGAATGACGCCCCCTCCCCAAGACAAAAGAGAAAATCCATCGGATACCAAGATTTATCGAAATAGAATGGGCTGTGAGGCGCGCTTGTCTTTCGGTGTGACGCCCCCTCCCCAAGACAAAAGAGAAAATCCATCGGATACCAAGATTTATCGAAATAGAATGGGCTGTGAGGCGCGCTTGTCTTTCGGAATGACGCCCCCTCCCCAAGACAAAAGAGAAAATCCATCGGATACCAAGATTTATCGAAATAGAATGGGCTGTGAGGCGCGCTTGCCTCTATCATGCACATGGGAATATAATTTTTTACCGAATGTGCGGGGAATGGGTTATTAAACGAAGCTACAGTTGCGCGTGAAAGGGCACCCACAAGTATAATCGGAGTCTGCGGACCATTCTTGTATTGCTTTCAAGATGCATCTCTCTAGCGGTGTCAGAGAGATGAGGTGCGTTGCTATGAAGGGTTGCTAGGGATTGAGATATTGGGATGCCAGATGATGAAACCATTGAGGAGGACTAAAGAGCCGCTGACGATTGAAGGGATACAAGTATCACGCAAGCAAGATCGAAGTAGACTGGATACCAGACAAATTTCTGTGAGCGTTGAATCATCTGAATTAAGATGAATACGATCTATAATGGATTATGAACACTAATCCCCCCCCCCCCTCCGCCCCCCAAAAAAGAAAGAAAGAGATGTTTGATTTTATGTTATTTTCTGCTTTTTTCCAAATACAATAACTGAATAACAAAGAAGTTCTTTGTTATTGTATTGTTCAACATGTCAACGTAAGATGCAATACAAACTATACGAACAATAACAATTGCATGTCAAAGTGTTATTTACATATATACATATTTTTGTTATAATAACTAATTTAATGTTTCTATAACATAATAAATTCAAAGTATTATCCGAGATTTTGTGGAAAAAGTGGAGGAGACCGCAATATTAGCGATGCTTGACTAGGATGGCGGCCTCAATAAGATGAAGGCGAAGACGAGAGTAAATATTGGCTGAGATCAATACGAATATTTGAGACTCCAGACACTGATGTGCACATCAACTTTTAATTAATTAGGGATTTAGTTAATACTACGGTCGCACATGATAGTTACGTCAGTCGTGTGACGTAGAAGTGTGTTATAGTGACGGACTGGTCTTTGGCTCACCATGACTTGTGAGAGTGACATTGTTCAAATTCACGTCAAAGTTTAAAATTTTGCAAACATGGGCTTATCTTTCCTTCAGAGACTCGAGCACAACAACAAAATTGTACCTAAAACTTGATTTTCAGTAAGAAAGATGCCAACATTTTTTCTACCCAAGGAGGCAAGACCCCCACCTCCCAGACCCTCCCCGCCAGGGCGCCCTCGAAAGGTCCCATCCTTTATATTGTCTGCACCCCCCCCCCCCCCAACACACACACTTCAGTCCAAGTTACGGGCCTGCTCGAGAAGCCGCATAGGTAGATAACGCAAATGAAAATGGAAATGGCGCCTCGTTTGCAATATATGTCTCTTTATCTCTCTCTCTCTCTCCCTCTCTCTCTACCCGCCCCTCTCCCTTTGAAGCATCCTTAATTAGAAAAATCAGAAGTTATTATTAACGGTGTCATTACTAATTAACGAACTCATCAGCGCATTTACAATTAAGGCCTTCTGCTCCAGATTTCTATACTTCTTATAAATCCTTGGATAATGCAAAACGACTAATATAAGCCATTTCACCCGTGGTTACACAAAATAAAATGGATAACAGAAAAATGCCAGAGGAGGAAGCAAAAGTCTAGAAGTGAAGAACACATTCTAATTGACTATTAAAGAGGCAGCAGGGCATACATAGTCATAAAGTTAAAACTTTGCAGACCATATACACAAACAGCACTTACAAATTCTAAAACCAAGCATATACAATATCCATACCTGTTTTGCCCACACCTCTTATGCCAGTAATCACGACTTTAAAATCCATTTGCCCTGTCGACTTCTTCCGCCGGCCGAACGGGCTAGCGTTCGTCATCATCTTGGCGCGTCGCTAAACTCTCTTCGCAGCTTCTTAAATCCTTTCAAAAATCCAGAAAATGTGATTTTCTTCGTTATCCTGGATGCTCGAAATTAAGCGAAAGTTAGAACGAACGGACTCGCTTGTTCTTCAGCCTAGCCATGGTTTTGCATGATTCGTATGGTTAACTGGTGGCTAGATTTTTACTTTAAAAAAATATACATCTGAAGAAGATGTTGATACAGCACCTAATGGAGTTATCGGCACACGTCACCTTAGTATATAGTTACGGAGTGTGTATAGGTTGCAAATGGACAACTCTCGGCGCGCTACCTGGTGGTTCCGCTGGTATGGGGTACATCTCACAATATGGTCTTCTGCTGAAGAAGCTGGAGCGCGGCTGGATAAGAAGTTACGCACTTGCGATCGCAGTAGTTGAAATTGCTCGTACCACAACTAACATGTATTTGATTTTGGAGTTTTGGTCAAGTGGGTGGGTTTGGTATTATGCGAATCTTGGGGGGGGGGGTTTAAACCCCCCTCTTTGGTATTTTTTTATGTGTGTAATTATGAGGAAAACCCTCCCCCTCCCCCTTTGGTAAT